GTGCCTGTTCTCATACTTTGCCTGCATTTTGTTGGGCTTTGGGCCTTTTATTATTTTTCTTTGATAGAAACAGAGTCCCACTATGTTGTCCAGGCTGGCCTCAAACTCCTGGCCTCAAGTGATCCTCCCACATGGCCTTCCAAATCACTGGGGTTAGAGGTGTGAGCACTGCACCTGGCAAACTGTTAATACATTTTTGTAGAGTACAGCTATTCTCTCTTCATCTTTCATTTGCATGACAAATATTTATTCCAAATTTGTTTTTTTCATTAACTTTGTAGTATCTTTTGCAGTATAATTTATTTAAAAGTTTTATAATTCTATATGTCTATATTCTCTTTTATTACTTTTGCATAACTAGCTTTTATATTCATTTCCTGTGGCTCCTGTAACAAATGACTATAGACTTCTTGGTGTAAGAAACAGAAATTTATTTTCTTACAGTCCTGGAGGTAGGAAGTCTGAAATCAGTTTTTCTGGATCAAAACCAAGACGACATAGGGTGATGCTCCCTCCAGTGGCTCTAGAACCTGCCAGCATTCCTTGTCTCTCCCAGCATTCCTTGTCTCTCCCAGCATTCCTTGTCTCTCCCAGCATTCCTTATCTCTCCCAGCTTCTGGTGGCCTCCGGCATCCCTTGGCTTGCTGCCGCACCTTCCAGCCTTCGGGGCCAGCATCTTCCGACCTCTTCCTGCCCCATTGTCACAGTGCCTTTTCCTCCACTTGTGTCAAATCCCTTCTGCCCGTCTCTTATAAGTATACTTGTGATTGCATTTAGGATTATCCTCAGATAATCAAAGATAATCCCCCATCATAAGAGCCTTAATTTAATAATATCTGCAAAGACCCTATTTCCAAATAAGGAAACCTTGACAGATTCTGGAGATTCAGACCCATGATCTTTGGGGAGCTATTATTTAGCCTGATAACAGCTTGATTAAGGTTTCCCCATCCCAAGACAGTACATGTAATTGCCTAGATTTTTTTTTTTGAAAGTATTAGTGTGTACTAGTTCTGACTGGGAACACATTTTTATTTGTAATATAATATAGGGGTCCCTTTATATGTGCCAGATTAAACCTTTTTAACTTTTCCAAACTGAATTAAAATAGTATCTTTTTATTGATAAAAATCTTGCGTCTGTTCACAAATGGAACCAACCCAAATACCCATCAATGATAGACTGGACAAAGAAAATGTGGCACATATACACCATGGAATACTATGCAGCCATAAAAAAGAATGAGTTCATGTCCTTTGCAGGGACATGGATGAAGCTGGAAACCATCATTGCATCAAACTAACACAAGAACAGAAAACCAAACACCGCATGTTCTCACTCATTAGTGGGAGTTGAACAATGAGAACACAGGACACAGGGAGGGGAACATCACATACTAGGGCCTTGTTGTGGGATGGGGACAAGGGGAGGGAGAGCATTGGGGCAAATGCCTAAAGCATGTGGGGCTTAAAAGCTAGATGACGGGTTGATAGGTGCAGCAAACCACCATGGCACATGTATCCCAGAACTTAAAGTAAAAATTAAAAAAAAAAAAATACATTGTGCACACCATTTCTGGATTATTTATTAAGTTCCCTTATATATTTATACATTCCTATGCCTCCACCATATTAATATGATGAATATAATGTTACAGTATTTTTAATATAATACTGAAGGTGTTTATGGTTATAAGTTTCTCTTCCACACCTGATATTGGCTCCTTTCACGGTTTTGCTCTGACGTACCTCCATATTCATAGCTTTCTAGAGAAGGCATACATTTACTTTTCTTCTTTGGTGTAAGGATAATCTAAGAGTGAGTCTTAAATTTCCAAGTAGCTAAGATTTGTTTTGTACTCACAAAACATGTAAAATTACTGGCTGGGGAGTTAGCATGTTGAAGAGGAGAGATTTAATAGAAATTCTACCTCAAGCCTAAGTATAGAAATTCTACCCAAGCCCAAGATCATTACAGTGAGCACTATAATTAAAAATTGTAGGATTCCTTGGTGTAAGTAATCAGCACATACTAAAAGTAAAAATAAGCTTTATTTAATGACAGTCTGCCAGTATCTGTGGATTTTGGAATTTCTATTTTCATTCATGTGTGAGAGTTCTGGTTGTCTTTAAGTCCCACAAAAATAACACAGTGAAGATCAATTTAAGGCGCAGAGCCAGAAATACAGATAAGTTAGATGATCTCTTGAATGCTTCATTGGTGCCAAATATATTCTGTTAACTAAGAGGAAAAATAAATGAATTCATGAAAAAATACCATCCCACTGACCATGGGGCCTCACAAAGCACACACAATGTTTGTTTGTATGAAAGGGAAAAATGCAAACAACTTTCATGACTATGTGATGACCACGAGTCTAGGTTCTAGAAATCTGGGCCATGCAGACATCACCAAACCTTCAATGGGGTAAGAGTAGAGTGGACTCCTTGGAGAAGTGCCAGAGCTGGCAGGGAAGCATTGTTGGTGTTAACTCTGCCTGCAGAAGAAACACAAAGCCGCTTGATGTGGATTTTTCCTCCAATCATGTACCTGAGCCTCTCACCGTCCAAGCCCATACCTCTACACAGTAAATTTAAAGTTTACATAGACACTGAAATCAGCCCCTATTTTTTTCTCTTTCCTGTCCTTCTCTGTCTCTTTCTCTTACCCTCCCTCTCCCCTCCTGCCTCTTTTTTCTTTTTTAATTTTTGGAGGCAGGGTCTAGCTGTGTCCCTCAGGCTGGAGTACAGTGGCACAATCATGGCTTACTGCATCCTCAGACTCCCAGGCCCAAGACAGCCTCATCGTCCTGAGCAGCAGGGACCACAGGCATGCACCATCAGGCCTGGCTGTTGTTTTTTTCACCTTTTTGTAGAGACAGGGTCTCCCTATATTGCCCAAGCTGGTCTCAAACTCCTGGACTCAAGCGATTCTTCCACCTTGGCCTCCCAAAGCACTGGGATTACAAGGATGAGCTTGGCCTCTGCCTCTTTTTCAAATAAGGAGTCAGTAACTGTCTGACGCACCCAACGTATCATGCCAGAATACCTGGTTTGTGGTGAGGCTTCCTCCAGACTTTTGGACTACAGAGTAATGTGATCGCTTTTGATGCGCTCTACTTTGAGCAACTTTTATTTCTAAAAAAACTTCCACTGTACCCTCTAGCACCCTAAGGTTATACACCAATGACTATGCCAGCCAGCTCCTGTGCCAAATACTCCTGCCTGCTGTCGGCTGTCACTGCAGCACGGGCACACCTGCTTCCTCCTAACACCCCAAAGCTTCAGGGTCTTCATCTTCAGTGTCTCTCTTTTCTTTCTTTCTTTCTTTTTTTTTTTTTTTTGAGATGGAGTCTCACTCTGTCCCCAGGATGTAGTGCGGTGGCGTGAACTCGGCTCACTGTAACCTCTGCCTCCTGAGTTCCAGCGATTCTCCTGCCTCAGCCTCCTGAATAGCTGGGATTACAGGTGCCCACCACCATCCCCAGCTAATTTTTGTATTTTTAGTAGGGATGGGGTTTCACCATGTCGACCAGGCTGGTCTCAAACTCCTCACCCCAAGTGATCTGCCCGTCTCAGCCTCCCAAAGTTCTGGGATTACAGGCGTGAGCCACCACGCCCAGCCAGCTTCTCCCTTTTCTAAGGCTGGATTGCAGGAATCACCGCTCTGCCTCCACATTTCTGCCATTCTCTCTTCCCAGTCACCAAACCCATTCCATATCATTATCCACAGTCCATTCTTACCACAATAAGATAAGAACTTGCCACTTTGGGGCCATTAAGACCAAAGCCCTATTCTCTGCTTAGCTCCTAAAGGCATTTGAGTTTGTGACCCAAGAGCAGAAAAACTAAAAAATCAATGCAAAGAATCCATTTTTATTTTATGATAAGGAGATGAGGGTCTATTAAAACATACAAAGGATGATACACAGGATACAGTGACCTGAGACAATGCAGTGTCTGTGGACCTGCTGTTACTCAGCCTGCCTGAGATTGAAACTTATTCTAAAAATTACATGCTTTTGAAAATCTTATAAAGAAAACATTTATTTATCTGTTTGTTTGTTGAGATGGAGTCTCACTCTGTTGCCCAGGCAGGAGTGCTCTGGTGCAATCTTGGCTCACTGTAACCTCTGCCTCCCAGGTTCAAGCAATTCTCCCCCCTCAGCCTCCCGAGTAGCTGGGACTACAAGTGCACACCACCATGCCCAGCTAATTTTTATATTTTTAGTAGAGACAGGGATTCACCAGGCTGGCCAGACTGGACTGGTCTCAGACTTTTGACTTCACGTGATCCACCCATCCCAGCCTCCCAAAGTGCTAGGATTACAGGCGTGAACCCCATGCCTGGCTGGAAAACTTTTATTTTTTAGTTTGTTTTTTATTTCAGTTATTTTTAGGCAGAACATTAGTTGAATTCATTAAAATACATTTAAACAACATGAATTCAGGTAAACCATTAATTATTAACCATAATTTCCCTCATAACAGCTAATGCTTAAAGAATGTTTACTTACTATTAATTCCTTTAATCTCACAAAAACCTTTTGAAGTAAATATTAATATTATCTGCATTTTGCAGAGGAAGAAACTAGAGATTAGTGAGATTAAGAAGCAGCTTGTAAATTGGAAAACCAGCTGGAATCCAGGTCTCTCTGGGCCAAAACACAACCACTTAATCTTCTTTGCTACTTCATGTGTAGATAATACAGACTCAAAAAGCAGAAAAAGGGTAGATTTGCATTGTAGCACTGGAATTATTATTGCAATAATTGTTTAATTGCACAATACTCAAAAAAACAGTGCAGTCTGTGTTCATGCTACTATATTGATATAAACTCTTTTGAAAGAATTTCATAAATCTGTGAATATCAATTATTGAAATGCTTACCTTTTAATATTTGCATGAATAGATTAATTTTAATGAGTTTATTTTTACCTGTCTAAATTGGTAAACATTTAGGTTTTCTGACTTTCTTTGTTTCTGAATATTTTTTCCAGGGTCAACGTCTTTTTGAAAAGTTGCTCCAACTGACTTCACAAAATATTGAAATCAAGCTAGTGAGTGATGTAACAGCTGATTCAAAGGTATTAGAAGCCTTGAAATTAAAGGGTAAGGCCAAGGTTGATATGCTACTCTACCACTGGGTGTTCTGTTAAGATACCTTTAATTTCACTTAAAATAATATATAATTTCTTTATAACTAGTACATTTCACTTAGTACATAGTACATTTACATCTCCTTTAAAAAATAGCTCAATTAAAGTTTTTAAGTGGAGGAAATAACTAATCAATATATTGGAATTTTAAAAATACTGTTGCATATTAGTGTAAGCAAAATAATCTACTAGCCAATAAATGATGATTAACTAGAAAGAAGAATCTTTCCCTTTCTGCACATTTCAATGGTGTGATTACAGAGAATAACCACTTTTCATCAGAATAGACACTGGATTTCTACTTTTCTCTTGCCTGCCAAATGAAAATCCTTTTGGTGCTATATATTTAAAAAATAATATAGTCAGGTCCTGAAGTCTATGAATCATTGCCTGATTCATGGCTTTTAAGACAATTCCACAGGAGAACAGCATTTATATAGCCACTTTGCAATTTTTCTCACAATCTCATGAAGACTAAAAATAATTCCAAAATAACTTTGCTTATTTTCCTGTAATCTTCTGTAACTGAATTGAGCTCTCATGTCCTAACAGTTTTTACCAATTTGTAAAAATTGTTACCTCGAATTTATAATCCAAACTGCTGAACTGTAAGCCTCTAAAAGAAAAGGCATGTTTGAGCCAGTGAATGTGTTCAAGCTGCCAGGTGTCCCTGAAAGAGGACAGAGCACTGACTGACCTCAGTGAGTCATTCATGTCCCGCCTGATGGCATTACCTCTCATGTTTGTGCTGTTTAAACATATTGTGCATTTTTTTGCTTGTCATCTTCCCCACATTTTTAAGTGACAATACCTTCTAAAAATGGAACAGAACAGGGATCAAATAAGTGAGCCCAGTGGCCTTTCCTCCTGAAGAAGAATTGAAAGTGATAAAGCATATTGAAAGTCATAAACATATGAAAGACATAAACTTGGCCCTGCACATATATCTATCAAACATAAACATGTTTTCTATGCACAGGAAGATAAAACATGAGGTATTCATGTGTTTGAAAAGTGACGCTATGCTACTTGGGTGCAGCAGAATGTCTTTGAAAGTGCCTAGTTCAGTGGATTGACAGATATAATCAATGTGGGTTAGAAATGTATTCTTACTTTTCCTATTTTTTAAAAAAAGAAATGTGAAATTGGGTTTTCCCTATCTGATAATTTGTTAGACAACACTTCGGATTTTTAGGAATTGATTACTTTTGGTTAACTGAGGGTCCTGTATTTGCAGATGATTCTCCTTATGGAATTTACTGGCATCTCCTAGGGTTTGATTATCCAGACAGGATAAAAAGCTGATGATTTAGGAAGAGAAGGAGGGAGCCTAAGAGTTCTATTACTTCTTGACTGTACATCTGCAGCTCTCTTTCTTGCAATAGCTGATGCTAAATCTTGTAAACTCAACTGAAAGTTAAAGCTTGGGGATGTTAGGAAGCATAACAGATTTTGTTAGGTGTTGCTGAGTATTTAATGTTGTAGACAGCAAATAGCTATTGACAAATGTACGAATAAAGGCCTAGTTTACATTTCTATTGTGAATTATAAATTAAAATCTCATTATAGTAATTGCATCTCACAGAAAATGAGTGTTTGAATTTCCAAGCATATGTAGATACTACTGCTACTTAGGTTCTGTTGATATGTGAGAAGTCTGACCAAAATACAAAAGCAAATGATTTTCCTTCATAGTAGTAGAGCAATACACAGGACTCTAATTTCTCATCGCTGTTTTCTAGGTAGCGATAGTTGGCCCATCTGGCTTTGAGTGATGCACATGACATGTAGGGTATATAGAACATGTATAAATCCTCAGAATACCATTATTGTATTTCTGTCTTCTCATCTTGTGATAGAGATGTTAAATAACAGTGCATTTTAGAAATAATTTTTTTGAGATTATTTTAATTCCACAATTGAATATCTTGCTTAACAGTTATCTTTTTTTTTTTTTTTTAGAGAGGAATTCTAGTCTTTTAGCAAAATTCTAGGAAGTTTTGTCCAGAAATATCCCATAAAAAATAGGTAAATATAAAATGAGCCATGAGCAATTTCAGCTGCAAGAGTTACTGAATACAGAAACTCATCAAATATACTGTGAAAAGGAATAAAGTAGGGCTTCCCAGCAAATGGCAAAGATTTATAGTGCAGGTGTACATAGGCCCGGAAAGGGCCAGGCAGGCTGGAGAAGTCAGGCAGCTGGCCTGAGGCCCCAGATCCCCTCACTGATGGATGGTGTGCGGTCATTCCTGTTCCTTTTGCGTCCCACGCTTGGCCTCTCCCCTCCTTGACTCAGAAGTTGGAAAGATAAACCATCACTCCAAGGTCTCCAACTGTGGCTTGGAGGTGAGATGCTTTTGAAACCTAGTCAGGAAGTCTTTGCACCCAGGGAGGGATTTAATTTTACACAAGCGTCCCTGTAAATTCAAAATGGGTTTTGTAGTCGGGTTTCCTAATTTCGCTTCCTAACCATCTCTACTTGTATCCCTCATAAACATCTCAAATGCAACATGTCGTCTTAGCTCACGTACTTGCTTTCCCTTCCTGCACCAATGCAGCATCTCTCTCTATACCTACATTTCCATCTGCTCAGTCACTCGTGTTGGAAACTGAACACACTGTCATTCATCACATCTAATGAGCCACAGTCTATAGAATCTGCCCCTTCAGTCTTTCTTCTAGATATCACATTTCCTCCTCCCCTGCCTGCCCTATTTCAGGTCCATTAATTCTTTGCTCAAGCCTTTGTCGCCTTTCCTCTTTCACCATCTGATCTTCCACACAGCTACCAAAGAGATCTTCCACCACGTGGTTATTAGCAACTTACATGCTCACCTAAATTGCATGCAGGTGTGAGGATGCCTGAGGAATATCATACATGCAATAAAAGGCACAAGTATTAAAAATACAGCTCAGTGAATTTTACAGAGTAAACACATCCGCATAACACCTTCACAGATCCAGATGTAGAACACTGCAAGCAACTCAGAAAGCCTTCTCAATGCCCTTTGCCACCAATGCCCTCTGCAGAGGGAACCCCTATTTTGACCACTACCATAGGTAATCTTTATCTTTCTTTGAACTTTATATAAATAGAATCACAGAATTCTATATCCGGATTCCTTATCTCAGTTTTATGTTTATAAGACCAATACATGTTGGATACAGCAGGGGTTTGTTTTACTCCATTGTATGAATATAATGCAATGGATCAGTTCTACTGATAACAGATGTTTGAGTTTTTCCTGGTTTGGGGTTTCCTAGTTTTTCCTAGTTTGGCCTCTATAATGCTTCTATGAGCATTCTTGTACATGTCTTTCAGATGCCTACACACACTGATATTGCTGATATAATAGGCTATATATATGTTCCATTTCAATAGATATTGCCAATCAGTTTTCTAAGTGGTTGTACCAGCTAACACTCTCACAAGCAATATGTTAATGTTCTGTTTGCTCCACATCCTTGCAAAATTTGGCATTCTTTGTTCTTTTGATTTTAGCCGTTCTGGTGGTTATGTATCATGTTGTGTCTTTAATTTTCATTTCTCTGATGGCTAATCCTACTAAGCATCTTCTCAGATGTTTATTGACCATTTCTGTATTCCCTTTGAGAAGATGCCTGTGCAGGTATTTTGCCCAGTGTTGTTGTTGTTTGTTTTTGCTTTTGTCGGCCCATTTTTATTATTAGGCTAGATTTGAATCCTTCGTTGGATGTATGTATTTCAATACCTGCATCCATTTGAGGCTTGTTTTTTCACTCTTCTGCTGATGTCTTTACGTAAATGGAAATTGTTCATTTTAATGAAAGCTGATTTATTAATTACTCCTTTGTTGTTGATGATTTCTGCATCCTGTGTAAAAACTATTTACACAGTCATGGAGATTTTCTTGCTTGTTCTGTTCTAGATACTGTATTATTTTGCTGTTCAGGTTTAAGTCTGTGTTGAGTTTGGAATTTATTTTTACTTATGGTGTGAAGTAGCAGTAAAGGTTAATTTTGTACATATGAAGAGTCATTTATTGTTAAAACTTTCTTCACTGCATGTTAGAGGCATCATTGTTAAAAATGAGGTGACTATGTTTTAGTTCTGCCTGGGAATTCTTCACTGTGTTTTCTTAGTCTACTTCTTTATCCCAGGACACATGTCATACTGTTCACCTTGCCTTTATGTGTTACAGATGGTGTAACTTTCATCTTTGTTTCTCACTTTTAGAACTGCCTTAATTATTCTTGGACCTTCAGGTTTTGAAACAAATTTTGGAATCATCTTATCATAAAACTTATAAAATTGTGTTACACTTACACTGACTCTGTAGACAAACTTGGTGAAAATTGGCATTCACAATACCGAATCTTTTACTTCATGCCTATAGCATAGCTACAATATTTCCTCTTCCTACTGCTTTAGCTGTGTCTCTCAATTTTTAACATGACATAAATTTCTAAATTATTTTTCTGTCCAAAAAGTTTTCTGATTTCTACCTGCAGTCTACTTTGTGCTGTGGCCTATTTAGAAATGTAGTCCTTAATTTTCAAACATTTGGAGATTGTTCTTTTGTTATTTTCAGTATGTATATTCATAGAATATACTTGGTATGATAACAGTCCTTTGAAACTTTTAGAAAGTTACTTTATAAATATTTATTTATTGAGATAAATTTGTTTTATAAATATCAAGGCTTTCTATTGCTTTCATACAGCTTTTCATTTTCTGTTTTTGCATTTTGTCAACCCTCATAAGTCTTGACCAGAGAGTGTCTAAAAGCTGAAAGTGGAGATTACGTGAAATGGCTTCTCATTGTCTGACACATCGTCTTCATTGGCAGGCTTCAGAAACAAGCTAAATGAGACGTGAGATTGTCATTGACATCCTCTGCTTTCTTCAAATCCACTTTCAAGCAGGATGTGCCACTTGCTGCCACCACCTTCTTTTAAGTCCCGTTCTTT